ATTTTGATTTTATGGCTAGTGCAGGTTCCTTGATAATTGCTTTCAAAAATTCGTGGATAGGATGGGAATCCTGATGATATCAAATTAAGTTAATGCACACAAATTGGGTGAGGCACTCACAGTGGGGTAATCAAGATTAAAATCATCGAACCCAAATGGTCCATCAAGAGCACAAGGACCAACATAATCTGAGAGCTCAAGCTGGGGGAGGCAGGGAGCTGCCCAGTCTGCATACATCTATCATATTGACAAGTTAATTGAAGCCCCATATGAGTTGTAGTTGACTCGCCATTTCGTCACCTTGTGCCAAGGTAATTAGATGGTACACAACTAGATCCCGGAGAGCACAATCACGGAAGAATGGGCTGTTTGAGTTTGTCCATTTTGGTGCTCCTGGATCCAGATCTATTTCAACAAAGTTTAAAGAAGCAATTCCACAGCTTCCTGAAGCTGAGCTTTGTCAAGAAATGTCCCCTGCACGAATAAATAATGGAATTTGAGTGCCAGTATCAGAAAGCAACCATTCAAACACCGAAATTAAGGTCAGATCTGGAGATAATTGCATGGAATCTCCGTGGACAATGACATCGTCGTCTGCATCAACACGGTAGCGGAGTAATGGTCAGAGAGGCAGCTGAATGTGAAGATTTTATCGATGAGAGTTGACTGAAGATGCTGACGAAATGCGATGAGGTCCAGGCTGAAAAGAGGGGGAGACCGGTTGGACAGATATCGCAGATCAGCCAAAAAGGTGGTTGGGTATATCAAAATGCTAGGGTCCCGCTCAGCGGACCTAGCTGCATTTGTAAAATACATGAGTTCTGCCAACGCGTTCAGAACGTCCTCGTGAAGCCACTCTTCACGCAGGAGGCAGGAGAGCTTCCAAAGTGGGAATGTAGAACCACGGAGGCCACGGATGGCTGAAAGAATTGGGAGGGTAATGAAAGCGGAAAACCATCCAGATGAGACAATGGATGATGCAGAGAGGTGGTGGACTAAATCACGAGCAGACTGCACAGCAACTTGGTGATTGTTGATGTGAATCAAGAGCCGAATCTGAGACAAATTAGACATGCGAAACATTTGGATATGAAAAGACACACCTTTGAAAAATGGTAGAGCTGCTCCAAGCACTTCCCATCTACTGTGAAAGTCACAGCAACTGAGCGAGAACCTGCAGAATAAGTGGCCTCCATCTCTCTCGAAATGGGTACAAGGTCCGCCATATGTGGGACTGGCTCATTGATATCAACCAAGGTTGTGGCATGACCAGCCGGTATCTCTGGAGAGAATGTCCACTGTACAATATTCTGGGGCTTTTGAATGACAGGATAAATTAGTTTCATAGAACCAGAGAAAGTGAGTTTCTGGAACCAGGTCGCAGAATATTGCGCGGACTTTTCAGGCGATGAATAGAGTGTATATATATAGCTTATAGATCATATGAAACTAAAAATCTCGGAAAACGGTTTGGTATTCAGCGAGAAATGTTTGATGGTCTGAATTCCAGGTTTGTCCGGGATGGTGGGGGACGATAGTATTATTGAACACGCTGGTCTTTGCTGGTCTTTTCAGTGGTTGCCAAATATGAAAAGACAGGGGAAACGGCCCGGCAAGACCCTAATTGAGAAGTGCCTGTTTTGGGAACTGCTCAAAACTGATTCAATAACACGTGTCGCAAAAAGGTAGGTTGATTCAATATGGTGTAGACGGAAATATGGGTTGATTCAAGTGCACCACACATAGAAAAAAGATGGTTCAATTACTTCGGTTGAGAAAAAGTGGGGTTGGATCGACAATCTACGCATTTGAAAAGGGAGGTTGAATCATGAGTCCCAGAGTTCGTAAAATCGAGGTTAGATAAACAAGTTCCGCATTGAAAAAGGAGAGGTTGATTCAAGTAGTCTAAGGCATGTTGGATCAACAACGGGGACTCGGTTAGATCAAGGAATCAGCGATATTGGATCAAGCCGTCGTGTTCGGTTAGATCAACGGGGCGGAGCTTGAAACTGTGGTTGGTTCCGTGGTCAAATGAGAGGTTGGATCAATATATTCAAACTCCGGTTGACTCAATACGGTGACCAGTCTGGGGGCAATAACCTATTTTCGTTTCCGATTCGGCTTGAACCTGTCACTCGCTGCCTCATCTGGGCAGTTATAGCGTGGAACACATTCGGTATCGCTACTGCGGCACATCAGCTAAACATCAACTACTATCTAGTCTCAGAGTCAAGGACCCAAGAAGACAACAAGAATACCTCAAGTTTCTCAGCATCGATGTACAACACGAGGCGGTGACGGCCCGCCCCGATCATCCCCACCCCCGCTACATCGCGGCGATCACGCTATCTCCCTGCATGTGCACCATTTTAAACTTGTCCCTGGGTGCCTTGGCAGGCTCTCGGAGAAAAAGCCCGGGGTGCACGAAGTTCATCGTGAAAATGGCGAGTACGATCATGCCTCCGTCGAGGACGTTGAAATAGAGTTCCGTGTGAATGATACGCCCCTCCCAGCCGTCCTGGAGCTCGATTGTTCGATAGATAGAGCTGCAGTAATAATCGGATTCATTAAGCAGGATCTGATCGAGGGTTGAAGTTGCGCATACCGAATGAACAAACCGGTGGTGGAGAACAGCAGGGCAAAGACCATGATTTTCAGACGGGGGTAAGGACGCCACGGATGCTCGAGACACCGGGGCGTATGGGGCTGTCCGTGAGATACCGTCTAAAATAGTCGCCGGCCAGAGCGGAATAGACCACAATGGCCACTATAGAGCGGGCATGAGGAATGAAATGGGCAAGTTGAGTTAGGTATGGGGGTGTGTCATACCCAATTGAAAGATGATGCCACCCGTTTTTTTTTTTCAGTGGTCACAGCTCGAAATTCAACCTCATTTGACAGCGTTTGCGATAAAAAATTGGAGCGAACTTACCCGGATTCAATTTGTTTGATATGAAGCCTGTTAATACTAAGCGAACCTGCCTTTCATTTCATAGATGCTTGAAATATGAGAGGCCCTGGTACCCCATTTCCTTTCTTTACGTCGCTGAAATTGGCAAAATCGAACCACATCAAGAGCATCCGTTCAATTGAAGCACACCTACCCGGGTTCTATTTACGGGGAATAAGACCTGGGTCGGTGCGCACCTGCCTCTAGTTATATATCGAGGAAGAGTACTGCAGGCCCCCGTTCGATTCGGGGTCAGGTCATGAGAAATGGGAGCCAAAATTCTTTTGGGCAGCTAGAAAATCTAGACACACTTCGGTTGGTTCGATTTATAGAAAATAAGATCTGATAGTACATGGTGCGCACTTGCATTCAATCTGCCGGTTCAGTGTGATACAGCCGGACCCCGTTCAACTCAGGGTTAGGTCGTGGCCGAAAAGAGGATATTTTTTTTGGACAGCTAGAAAATTCGACCACACCTAACTAAGTTCAATTATAAGGAGGAAGACCTAATAGCGCTGGTGCGCACCTGCCCTCAGTAGTCATGGTCTGGAAAAGTACTGCAGGACACCTGTTCGATTCGGGGTCAGGTTGTGGATCCCCGTTCTATTCGGGGTCGGGTCATCTGGGTGTTCACCTATGACAATTTTTTGGGGCAGCCAGAAAATTGAACCACCTACGTGAGTTGGATCTATTGTGAGGAAGACCTAATAGCGCTGGTGCGCACCTGTATTAATTCATGACAATCGAATAAATACAGCAGGGCACCCGTTGGATTCAGGGTCGGTTCATTTCTAATCGTGATACGGCATTCTTTTTGGGCAACCAGAAAATTGAACTACATCTACTGAAGCTCAGATTATAAGGGAGAAGACTTGATAGAACATGGTGTGCACCTGCATTCAGTACACATGTTTTCGGTTTTCGCAGCAGGAACCCCGTTCGATTCGAGGTCAGGTCATGGGGGTGTCGCTCTAAGTTTGTTTTTGGTGCAACTGTAAATTGAACCACACATACCGAAGCTCAATTCATAAGGAGCAAGACCTGATAGCGCTGGTGCGCACCTGCCTCCAATAACGAAGTAGTGCGTGCAGCAGGACACCCGTTCGATTCGGGATTGGGTCATAGCGCATCACAAAGTGTTTTTTTTTTTCATTTTTGGTGCAACTGGAAAATTGAACCACATCTAGTGAAGCTCAAGTTATAAGAAGAAAAACCTGATAGCGCTGGGACGCACCTGAATTAATTGCGCCGGTTTAGAGAGGTACAGCAGGACCCGTTCGATTCGGGGTTGGGTCATGGAGCAGATGGGATCAAGAGCTTTTGTACTGCTAGATTTCAACCACACTTCCCTTGGTTCAATTTATAAAGGATAAGACCTGATAGCACATGGTGTGCACCTGCAATCAGTGTGTTGGCTAATGTTGATAAACTTGCATCAGGATCCCCGTTCGATTCGGGGTTGAGTCATTGGTTTGTATTACCGCCTTTTTTTTATGCCTAAAAGTGAACCACACCTACTCCAGCCAATTTATCAAGAGAAAGACCCGATAGCACATGGTGTGCACCTGACTCTACTAGTTGGAGAAATGTGGGAGAGTGCTGCAGGCTTCCCCATTTGATTCGGGGTCAGGTCAGGAGCGATACCAGTGACGATTTTTTGGGCAGCTAGATAATTGTACCACACCTACCGAAACTCAATTTATAAGGAGCAAGACCTGATAGCGCTGGTGCGTACCTGCCTCCAATACCGTTGCATGAAGAAGTGCGTACAGCAGGACACCCGTTCGATTCGGGGTTGGGTCATGCAGGATCACGAGATATTTTTCTTTTTTGGTGCAACTGGAAAATTGAACCACATCTAGTGAAGCTCAATTTATAAGAAGGAAGACCTAATAGCGCTGGGGCGCACCTGAATTAAGTGCGCCGGTTTAGAGAAGTACAGCAGGACCCCCGTTCGATTCGGGGTTGGGTCATGTACCGATGGGATCTAGAGTTTTTGTACTGCTAGAATTCAAACCACACTTCCCTTGGTTCAATTTATAAAGGATAAGACCTGATAGCACATGGTGTGCACCTGCAACTAGTAGCATGTTGGCCAATGTTGATAACTTGCATCAGGATCCCCGTTCGATTCGGGGTTGGGTCATTCGCATTCCGAATACACGTAACCGCCTTTTTTTTATGCCTAAAAGTGAACCACACCTACCCCAACCCAATTTATCAAGAGAAAGACCTGATAGCAGATGGTGTGCACCTGCCTCTACTAGTTGGAGAAATATGGGAGAGTGCTGCAGGCTTCCCCGTTCGATTCGGGGTCAGGTCATAAGTGGTAAGGATTTTCGGGCAGCTAGAAAATTCAATCACATCTACCGAAGCTAAAGTCATAAAGAATAAGAGCCGATAGCGCTGGGCGCACCTTCATTCAGTAAATCACGACCGTTGAAGTACAGGACACCCGTTCGATTCGGGGTTGGGTCATGAAATCCAACTATGATCGCCTTTTTTTATGCCTAAAAGTGAACCACACCTACCTCAGCCCAATTTATCAAGAGAAAGACCTCATAGCACATGGTGTGCACTTGCCTCTACTAGTTGGGAAAATGTGGGAGAGTGCTGCAGGCTTCCCCGTTTGATTCGAGGTCAGGTCATGAGCGGCAGCAGCGAGGATTTTTTGGCAGCTAGAAAATTCAACCACATCTACCGAAGCTAAAGTTACAAAGAATAAGACCCGATAGCGCTGGGCGCACCTTCATCCAGTAAATCACGAACGTTGAAGTACAGGACACCCGTTCGATTCGGGGTTGGGTCATTCTGGGTCAGACATTCTTTTGGGCAGCGAGAAGCTCAACCACACTTACCCGAGTTCATTGTACTGGGATAAGGACCTCATAGCACATGGTGTGCACCTGCATTCAGCGCGTTGGTTGATAAACTTGCAGCAGGACCCCGTTCGATTCGGGGTCGGGTCATTACGAAATACTGTCGCCTTTTTTTTAATGCCTAAAAGTGAACCACACCTACCCCAGCCCAATTTATCAAGAGAAAGACCTGATAGCACATGGTGTGCGCCTGCCTCTAGTAGTTGGAGAAATGTGGGAGAGAGTACTGCAGGTTTCCCCGTTCGATTCGGGGACAGGTCATGGGGTAGGAATCAGAGGATCTTTTTTCTTGGGTGGCTAAATTGAACCACACCTACCCGCGTTCGTTTGACTGGGATAAAGACCTGATAGCACATGGTGTGCACCTGCCCTAGTCATGGTGTGGAAAAGTACTGCAGGACATCCGGTTGGGTCATGGTCCATTGCGGCATCAGATTCTTTTTGGGCAGCCACTGTGACTGGCAGAAAATTCAACCACACTTCCCTAAGTTTATTTTATAAAGAATAAGACCTGATAGCACATGGTGTGCACCTACTTCCTGTATCGAATTGGCGAGATAGTACAGTAGGACACCCGTTCGATTCGGGGTCAGGTCATAAGGTTGCTATTTAACTTCTTTTTGGGCAGCGAGAAAATTCAACCACACCTGTTCAAGTTTATTTTATAACGTGGAAGACCTGATGGCGCTGGCGCGTGCCCACATTTAGTGTTGTGACTTTAGCTGTTACAGCAGGACACCCGTTCGAATCGGGGTCAGATCGTACTCGTGGCGAACGGCGTCTTTTTAGGCGGGTGATCTAGACCTTGAAGATGGAAATTCCAGGAAACAATGAGGCCTTTTCAAATTAAATCTGACGCGCTCCTCCATTCAATATGTTACTGGTTTAATTCTGGGGTGCCAGCATCGACATCTTCCTATGTCTTCGGATGGGTTGAATTTGCAGATCAGTCAGATCGATAACGTATTGACATGACGCACCGGCGTTTGAATATGAATATCTAAATCATTTTAACTGGAAAGAAAAAGTATTCCTGTTTCATATTGTGTCGGTTCATTCCACCAATAATATCTATCGTTCTCCCCTTCCATTCAAAAAAATTGAAACAAATTAATTCAAACTCACCGCGCGGCATCAATCCCCAACCAGGCGACAGTCATCAGCAAGTGATGCACGAGGCAGAGGTTCCAGCCTTTCCTTACTCCACCCTCCGCCGACTAATTCCCGACGCAAAAAAGTGCCAGCGCGCTCCCCGAGCGAGCCCTGCGCCGACCACGGTTGTGGTTGTGGTTGAATTTGAAATTCTCGGGTATAAAACGTGACGTCACGCGTCTTAGAATTCGTTGACCTGAACCACGACTACGAGCTGCGCCGATGGTCTGGCTGCTCCCGCTCGCTGTGCTGGCGCTGGTGGCCGCAGCTGCGTCCTTCCCTGCGCCCGCAGCCCTCTGGCGCCGCCCCCAGCCCCTCCAAAATAATCCCCACGATCCCAAACGACGTCCGTGTCTCAGTTCTTGTTTTTATGCGAAATTTACTTATCTTATTGTATTACCCCAGGACCCAGCCTCCTGCTCGTACTTCTGCGCGCCGTCGCGTCGTTATTTAGTCCCCGCGACCCCGCAGCCGCGCTCCTCCTCCCTGCACCGCCGCAGCAGATCCTCCTGAACGCGCAGCCCTCAGGTCAAAACTCGCTGCCCTTCCCCTCTTTAGACCAACCAAATCCTGCTTCTGGAGTGTCCGCGTACCCCCCGCGCGCGCCGCCGCCCGGCCCACCGCCCTATGTGCCTGGATGGGCAGACGTCTGGCCCGGACCTTCGCTGTACAACTACAGCTTCACCGCCGGCCGCAAGGGCAGCCTCGACCGCCACGCGCCCGTGCACTATGAGCGTGTAGAGGTGCCGCATATCGATCCTATCAGTGAGGACCTGAACGAGGAGATTGACCTCCCGGACCTTACGCACACGTCCGACGCGGACCTGCTCTGCGCGGCGCTTAATGCGCTCGCGCTCGATGAGGGCGGGTTGTCTCTTGGCGATGCAGCGCGCGCGTTGTCCCGTCCATTCATCGCACCAAAACCCAAACCCGCTTTCGAATTGAACGCGCCAACGCAGGGTCCATATAATAATATTAATACACCCGCATACGCAGATACGACGCACCCCTCGGGCGTCATCGCACTCCCCGCCGCGCCGCTGCACACCCTACCCCCGCCGGTGCGCGCACGCCCAGTGGCGCTGTCTGGATTCGACAACGCGCAATCCGTGATAGTGGGCTCCAATAAACCCAAGTCCAAGTCCGCTACGTCCAGAGCCAAAGCCAAGTCGATCTCTCCAGTCAAGCCCCCCCTCCCCGCGACGGCGCAGACGTCACCTCCCGCCGTTACCGCTGCCGCTGCCCCTACGCCGTCCGCAGCTCCTCCCCCCGCTGCCCGGATCATCCCTCCTGTCACTGCCTTCTCCTTCCGCAGCGACACCCTCAATGGCGCGCCCTCCTCGTTTGGGCTCCTGTCCCCGCAGGTGGGTGTGGATAGGCCTTCTTCGCTATCAGTCGAGCGCTCTTCCTCGCCACCCTCATCGTCTTCCGTATCCGCGTCGTGCTCAGCGTCAACACCAACGCCAATCCCACTGCGCCCGACATCCGAGTCCGAGCCCTCGCCCGAGCTCGACTCCCATTCCTCGTCCGTCTCTCCTTCCGCGTCCGCGTCCACCTCGTGTTCCCCGCCGCCGCATCACGTCGAATTTGCGGAGGCCAGCGCCTGGCCACGGCCCTCCGCCTCCGCCCCACACCACGACTCGTCCCTCGCCTCTACCCCTACTACCCCGATAATCGCCAAATCCAGCTTCTCCTTCAACAAGGGCCCCTCCGGCGCGTCCTCGCTGCCCGCGTCCCTGTCTACGCCCGTCGCGACGACGTGGGGCTGGGAGTGGGAGTGGGATGCGTGGGGGTGGGAGGATGTGGGCGCGGGCGACGGCGATACCGACGCCGAGTCCGTGTGGGGCCCCTCCCATGCTGACTCTGCATGGGCCGAGTCTACGTGGCATGCGCCCGCGTGGACCGACCCTGGGTGGGGAGACGCCGCGCCGACGTACGCGTACGACCCGCCCCCAGCGCCGTTCCCGCTCGCGCTCTCGCTGGCGCTGACCCCGGCTCCGGCGCCGAAGTACGCGTACATCGACCCGTCGCCGTTTTGTCTGCGCGCGCCGACGGGGGGAGGGAGCGGCAAGGCTGCGTTCGGCGTGAGCGTGGGGGTGGGCGGCTTCGACCTGCGGGGTGGGGGTGGGGATTTTACCGGAGTAGGCGCGGGCGGGGCGAAGCGGTGGGGGCTTGAGTGGTGCTGATGGCGCTTGCTCTCCTTTTTCTCTTTCTTTTTTTCATTTCGCATCAGACTTTTCTTTAAATCTCCCTTCCTCGTAACTCACTATGCACTTTCCTTTCTTTCTTTCCACCTTACACAACTTATTTATTCGTTCATTCATCGCACCACACCACACCACCTCACATCGCACTGTACAACATACATACATCACACACCACGCACCGACTCACTCGTTCTGGGCTCGCTCATTAATACAATATTCGTCTATCCATGCACTCCGCTCCTCCACATTACTGCACACACACACTCTTTCAATCCAAATCCAATATTTTGCAGCCACGACAGAAGGGCTACACGTACATACAATAACTTTACACATGTAATGTAGTGTAATATAATTCGAACGCAGAGGAGAATTAGAAGGTGAAAGAAATGAATCTGTATATATCCACATCCAGTGTTTGTGAGTAGTGTCGAATGGGCGGGGTACGAAAAAATTGTGCGCGTTGGAAAAAAGAAAGCATATTTAGTACGGGCAATGAATGCAGGACCCGACCCCGAGTCGAACGGGTGTCCTGCATAATAGCGTTGCCATGATGGTATTGAAGGCGCACCAGCGCTATCGGGTCTTTATAGTGATAAATTGAAACCAGATAGGTGTGGTTGAATTTCTGAGTGCCAAAAAAAAAACCCCCACAAGACGGTATCATGGCCTGACCCCGAGTCGAACGGGTGTCCGCATAACAGCGTGCACTCATGATATTGGAGGCAAGTGCGCACCGGCGCTATCAGGTCTTTATACCAATAAATGGAGCTTGGATAGATGTGGTTAAATTCTGGATAATGCCAGAAAAAGCGGAGACCATATGTGCATGACCCGACCCCGAATCGAACGGGTGTCCTGCATTTTTTACCGCGGAACTGAACTCTCTGACCGTGAGCAGATGCACACCAGCGCTATCGGGTCTTGATATCAATAGATTGAACCTGGATAGGTGTGGTTGAAGTTCTGGATGTGAGCTCGAGGGAAAAAAGGTTCAGAGATACCAATATATGACCCGACCCCGAATCGAACGGGTACCCTGCATAATTTTCAACCACAAATTGATTGGAGGCAGGTGCGCGTCA